AGTAAATATTAGTTTACCTTTTGGAATATTACAGTAAATACAGTAAATATTAGTTTACCTGTTGGAATATTACAGTAAATACAGTAAATATTAGTTTACCTGTTGCAATATTACAGTAAATACAGTAAATATTAGTTTACCTGTTAGAATATTACAGTAAATACAGTAAATATTAGTTTACCTGTTGGAATATTACAGTAAATACAGTGAATATTAGTTTACCTGTTGGAATATTACAGTAAATACAGTAAATATTAGTTTACCTGTTGGAATATTACAGTAAATACAGTAAATATTAGTTTACCTGTTAGAATATTACAGTAAATATTAGTTTACCTGTTGGAATATTACAGTAAATACAGTAAATATTAGTTTACCTGTTAGAATATTACAGTAAATATTAGTTTACCTGTTGGAATATTACAGTAAATACAGTGAATATTAGTTTACCTGTTGGAATATTACAGTAAATACAGTGAATATTAGTTTACCTGTTGGAATATTACAGTAAATACAGTAAATATTAGTTTACCTGTTGGAATATTACAGTAAATACAGTAAATATTAGTTTACCTGTTAGAATATTACAGTAAATATTAGTTTACCTGTTGGAATATTACAGTAAATACAGTAAATATTAGTTTACCTGTTAGAATATTACAGTAAATATTAGTTTACCTGTTGGAATATTACAGTAAATACAGTGAATATTAGTTTACCTGTTGGAATATTACAGTAAATACAGTAAATATTAGTTTACCTGTTGGAATATTACAGTAAATACAGTAAATATTAGTTTACCTGTTGCAATATTACAGTAAATACAGTAAATATTAGTTTACCTGTTGGAATATTACAGTAAATATTAGTTTACCTGTTGGAATATTACAGTAAATACAGTAAATATTAGTTTACCTGTTGGAATATTACAGTAAATACAGTAAATATTAGTTTACCTGTTAGAATATTACAGTAAATATTAGTTTACCTGTTGGAATATTACAGTAAATACAGTGAATATTAGTTTACCTGTTGGAATATTACAGTAAATACAGTGAATATTAGTTTACCTGTTGGAATATTACAGTAAATACAGTGAATATTAGTTTACCTGTTGGAATATTACAGTAAATACAGTAAATATTAGTTTACCTGTTGGAATATTGCAGTAAATACAGTAAATATTAGTTTACCTGTTGGAATATTGCAGTAAATACAGTAAATATTAGTTTACCTGTTAGAATATTACAGTAAATACAGTTAATATTAGTTTACCTGTTGGAATATTACAGTAAATACAGTAAATATTAGTTTACCTGTTGGAATATTACAGTAAATACAGTAAATATTAGTTTACCTGTTAGAATATTACAGTAAATACAGTAAATATTAGTTTACCTGTTGGAATATTACAGTAAATACAGTAAATATTAGTTTACCTGTTGGAATATTACAGTAAATACAGTAAATATTAGTTTACCTGTTAGAATATTACAGTAAATACAGTAAATATTAGTTTACCTGTTGGAATATTACAGTAAATACAGTAAATATTAGTTTACCTGTTGGAATATTACAGTAAATACAGTAAATATTAGTTTACCTGTTGGAATATTACAGTAAATACAGTAAATATTAGTTTACCTGCTGCAGTGAAGCTGCCTCTCTCTGGGTTCAGACTCTTTTCGGGCTGTTTGCTGTCTCTGTGATCGGTTCGCTCCTCTTTGTCACCTCCTCCTCCTGATGAGGAGGTTGAGTCGGTGTCAGCTGGAGCTGACAGACTGCTGCCTGCTGAGAGTCTCTGTGGACAGACGGAGACTCTGCAGCCACACAGACACAAATGTGAAGCAAGTGTTCACTGTACTGATGGTACATGTGTAGAATATATATATATATATATATATAAATGTATTAGGGATGCTCGATATTGGCTTTTCTGCCGATATCCAATATTCTGATATTGTCCAACTCTCAATTTCCGATACCGATATCACCTGATACCGATATATGCAGACTTTTTACACCAAAACTGTAACAACATAACATATCTCCTATTGTGGAATTAACACATTATGCCTAATTTTATTGTGATGCCCCACTGGTAGGGTGGCCATTTCCTTCACATCATAAAGGAGCACACTTTGCATACACAGGGACACGCAAGCAGATATTTGTTTGGTATGATCCGGTTTTAAATATTAATGTTTTTCCACCAGATTACATAAAGGTGCATACACATACCACATAGCTAATAATAAATATACAAGATACAGCTCATGACAACGTGCCCTTCCAATTCAGATTACATAGGTCTAATAAACATCATACAGAAACTGTTCTTAATGTTTTTATCTGGATAGATAAAGGGGGAAACAAATACAGCACCTTCTGTTTCAGATGTATAGGCTTTACCTATCTACATCTGAGTATGAGCATTTTCAGAATTTCAGTCCAACAACCGACGTTAGCTCACGTTACATTCTCTGTCGCTGAGAGTTTGTGGTGCTATCCATTTGTCTCGTGAACTCGGAACCCGAGTTGTTCTGCCACGAGAACATGATGTCATTGCCTGGCTTGTACCACTTATAGCGTTCCATTTGTCTTTGGGCATTACGAGTCGGAAAAGTGCAGCAGCTGTGTTGTTATTGATTGTGGCTCTAAACAAGCTCAATGTGAAATAATAATGTGTTTCTACACAAACACAAACATTTCAAGTAATTCCGTTATTGCAAGTCTTACAGTTCAATAATATTTAGCCATTTTCGCCTATTTCAATTTCAACAAGTGCTGTGGCGTTTCTCTCGTGCCACCAGGGGCCTCCAGGAGCCACCAGGAGCCACCAGGGTCCTCCAGGGGCCTCCAGGGGCCACCAGGGGCCACAAGGAGCCACCAGGGGCCTCCAGGGGCCACCAGGGGCCACCAGGGGCAACCAGGGGCCACCAGGAGCAGTAGCAGGCTAGTGTTATTGTTAGCTGCATTAGCCTATTTAGCAAACCAGCTAGAAAACAAAACTTTACATTGTATTGAACTCACAGCAACACCGGACTAAAGCAGCAATGTAAACAAATGTGTAGGAGCATTTAAAATTGACATTAAAACGACCAACGTAGCACAAATACAAAGAGACAAATGGATAGCACCATTGACTGACAGCCTGGTGGTAACCTAGCATCTATGGTGAGCAAGTGGCGAATCAACACATGGCTCATTTGAATATTAAGATTAGCCATGTGTTGATAGGTCACCACACGAAAATGTAACCAATGAAATTACTTATTTTGACACAGATTTCTAGCCAATAAGTATTAAACTAACAAGGTAATGTGTCAGAAGGCTTTTTAGTTATTTTCTCAAAAGGAGGACAAATGAGAATCATGAAGTCGAAGGAACTGCCCAAGGAGCTCAGAGACAGAATTGTGGCAAGGCACAGATCTGGCCAAGGTTACAAAAGAATTTCTGCAGCACTCAAGGTTCCTAAGAGCACAGTGGCCTCCATAATCCTTAAATGGAAGAAGTTTGGGACGACCAGAACTCTTCCTAGACCTGGCCGTCCAGCCAAACTGAGCAATCGTGGGAGAAGAGCCTTGGTGAGAGAGGTAAAGAAGAACCCAAAGATCACTGTGGCTGAGCTCCAGAGATGCAGTAGGGAGATGGGAGAAAGTTCCACAAAGTCAACTATCACTGCAGCCCTCCACCAGTCGGGGCTTTATGGCAGAGTGGCCCGACGGAAGCCTCTCCTCAGTGCAAGACATATGAAAGCCCGCATAGAGTTTGCCAAAACACACATGAAGGACTCCCAGACTATGAGAAATAAGATTCTCTGGTCTGATGAGACCAAGATTGAACTTTTTGGCGTTATTTCTAAGCGGTATGTGTGGAGAAAACCAGGCACTGCTCATCACCTGCCCAATACAATCCCAACAGTGAAACATGGTGGTGGCAGCATCAGGCTATGGGGATGTTTTTCAGCTGCAGGGACAGGACGACTGGTTGCAATTGAAGGAAAGATGAATGCGGCCAAGTACAGAGATATCCTGGAAGAAAACCTCTTCCAGAGTGCTCAGGACCTCAGACTGGGCCGAAGGTTCACCTTCCAACAAGACAATAACCCTAAGCACACAGCTAAAATAACAAAGGAGTGGCTTCAGAACAACTCTGTGACCATTCTTGACTGGCCCAGCCAGAGCCCTGACCTAAACCCAATTGAGCATCTCTGGAGAGATCTGAAAATGGCTGTCCACCAACGTTCACCATCCAACCTGACAGAACTGGAGAGGATCTGCAAGGAAGAATGGCAGAGGATCCCCAAATCCAGGTGTGAAAAACTTGTTGCATCATTCCCAAGAAGACTCATGGCTGTAGTAGCTCAAAAGGGTGCTTCTACTCAATACTGAGCAAAGGGTCTGAATACTTATGACCATGTGATATTTCAGTTTTTCTTTTTTAATAAATTTGCAAAAATTTTACATTTTTTTTTCTGTCAAGATGGGGTGCTGAGTGTACATTAATGAGAAATAAAATGAACTTTTTTGATTTTAGTAAATGGCTGCAATGAAACAAAGAGTGAACATTTTAAAGGGGTCTGAATACTTTCCGTACCCACTGTATATGTATGTATATGTGTATATATGTATATGTACAGCTCTCCAAGTTCAGGGACTTCTGTCAATGTAAACTTAGATGTATATTTAGACTGTTTTTCTGCTATCGATCTTCATCAGTTAACTTCAATCATTTCTTCATCGAAGCCATCAACCTGTCTGTTAGACCCGATCCCAACTAGGCTGCTTAAAGAAGTTGTTCCCTTAATTGGCACTTCTTTACTGGATATGATTAATCTTTCTTTATTATCAGGATATGTACCACAGTCCTTTAAAGTAGCTGTAATTAAACCCCTTCTTAAAAAGTCCACTCTTGACCCAGGGGTTTTAGCCAACTATAGACCGATTTCTAACCTCCCGTTCCTCTCTAAGATTCTGGAGAAAGTAGTCGCCAAAGAGTTGTGTGACTTTCTACATAACAATAGTTTATTTGAGGATTTTCAGTCAGGATTTAGAGTTCATCATAGCACAGAGACAGCTCTGGTTAAAGTTAATAATGACCTTCTGATTGCTTCTGACAATGGACTTGTCTCTGTACTTGTATTATTAGATCTTAGTGCTGCATTTGACACCATTGACCATGATATTCTTTTACAGAGACTTGAGCATCAAATTGGCATTAAAGGAACTGCCCTAACCTGGTTTAAGTCATACTTATCAGATCGTTCTCAGTTTGTACATGTTAACGATGAATCCTCCATAAATACTAAAGTTAGTCATGGAGTTCCACAAGGTTCTGTACTTGGACCAATACTATTTACTTTATATATGCTCCCTTTAGGCAACATTATTAGGAATCACTCCATTAACTTTCACTGTTATGCAGATGATACGCAGTTATATCTATCAATCAAACCCAAGGAAATTAATCAATTACCTAAATTACAAACATGTCTTAAGGACATAAAATCCTGGATGACCTGCAATTTTCTGATGTTAAACTCAGAAAAAAACGAAATTCTTGTTCTTGGCCCCAAAAACCTTAGAGACTCATTGTCTAAAGATATAGTCACTCTAGATGGCATTAACTTGGCCTCTAGCACCACTGTCAGGAATCTTGGAGTTATCTTTGATCAGGATTTTTCATTTAACTCCCACATAAAGCAGACCTCTAGGACTGCCTTCTTTCATTTACGTAATATTAGAAAAATTAGACACATACTATCACAGACAGATGCAGAAAAACTAATCCATGCATTTGTTACTTCAAGGCTGGATTACTGCAACTCTTTATTATCAGGTTGCCCCAATAAGTCCATTAAAACGCTCCAATTAATTCAGAACGCTGCAGCACGAGTACTGACAGGAACTAGAAAAAGAGATCACATCTCTCCTGTACTAGCTACTCTGCATTGGCTCCCTATAAAATGTAGAATTGAATTTAAAATCCTCCTCCTCACCTATAAAGCTCTTCATGGTCAGGCCCCTTCATATCTTAAAGAGCTCATAGTACCCTATTACCCCACTAGAACACTACGTTCTCTGAATGCTGGGCTACTTGTGGTTCCTATAGTCTCTAAAAGTAGAACAGGAGCCAGAGCCTTCAGTTACCAAGCTCCTCTCCTGTGGAACCAGCTTCCAGTTGTGGTTCGGGAGGCAGACACCCTCACCACATTCAAGAGTAGGCTTAAGACATTCCTCTTTGATAAAGCTTATAGTTAGGGCTGGATCAGGTGAGTCCTGAACCATCCCTTAGTTATGCTGCTATAGGCCTAGACTATCGGGGGATTTCCCATGGTGCACTGAGCTCCTCTCTTCCTCTCTCTTTCTGCACTCATTCATGTCCCTTTAATGCATGTTACTAACTTCACTTCTTCCCCGGAGTTCTTGTGCTTTCTCGTCTCGCAGGTTCTCATGGATCCTGGTGGAGCCTCCTGCCATGGTCCTGCTTGACTGCCATTGCCAATACTGTTGTTGCTGTGCACCTGTCTGTCTGTCTGTCTGTCTGTCTGTCTGTCTCTCTCTGTCTTTCTCTCTCTCTCTCTCTCTCTCTCTCTCTCTCTCTCTCCCCCCCACCCGAAAAAAATGTCCACCCACCTAGGCGGGGATCTGTCCTGGTTTCTGCCTTTTAACAGGCGTTTTTGCCTTGTGCAGTGTTGTTGGTGGTCTGTTGGGTTCTGTATTATGTTAAGGTTCGGTCTGCCTGCTCTATTTAAGTGTCCTAAACTCTCTTTGTCTCTCTACAAATAAAATTAATTGAATTGAATTGAATTATATATCTATATATAATAACGGACATTAAAGATTGTATTGATTCCATCATCTGCTATAACCATCTGAATAATATCGACAAACATCCGTCTACTGCGATGCTCATTTATTTATGAATTTATTTAATTCTCTAAATTCTACCTTTGTATTATTTATTTATTTTTCATGTTGCTTTTAATTTAACTCTGGAATAAAATAATAATAAATAATCATTGAGTTGATTCAGTGCAGTAGTTGTTAGTTAGTTCCTTATGTTGTTAGTTTCATTATTAAGTTCAGTTCAGTACAAAGCTGTGGGGCTAACCCTAACTAGCAGTTAGCATAGCGGTTTACTTAGTATTAGCAGGTAGCTTGGTGGTTAGTAAATAGTTTGGTGAGAGGGGAGCAGCTTAGTATTTAGCTTAGCGGTTCGTTTGGCTGTTAGCTTAGTAGTTAGCTTAGCATTAGCAGTTAGCTTAGCATTAAGTAAGGGGTTTGATATTAGCGAGTAGCCTAGCATTAGCAAGTAGCCTAGCATTTGCGGTAAGCTTAACAATTAGATTTCCCTGATTTAACCACGCCCACTTTCTACTTGATCCAACCCCTCCCACTATTTTCAAATCACTCTATTTATCCTATTTCTGTTTTTTACTTACCTTTTGTATTTATTCATATATCTACGAGTTTATATTTATATATTCTTTTTAATGTGGGGGTACACAGTATGGGGAACCCTGATTGACGTGCGCCGGCCAGTGCCTAAGCTGAGGCTCTCCTTCCCAAACTGTGTTGTCACCAGCACAACACAGGGAGAGTCATTGTGATATAATCCTATCCTAACCCAAACAGGAAGGGCCCTCTTTATTAAAAGTGCCGGGGGCGAGGTAGACACTGGATTCATCTCTCTGACATTCCTATCTCGAGTTATTTCAAACGGACCCTTCCCAAGGTGGTTTTCATAACTTAACCCTACTCTACTTCAACTGACTCAGAATCACCTGAAACGTGCTCCTAAACACTTTTTGAGGTGTCAATTCTGGGAAGAACACTTCCCCCAAACACAGTGGAGACATACAGTAGCACAATAAGAGACTGGGTTTACATGCTTTGCTGAAGCTTTATTAAATGGCAGAGAAAATAACAGAAATCAGTCACAACTGAGCTCAATACTGAACATCAAAAAACCCTACAGCATATGCAGCAAATGATCATATTAATGTCAGATTAAATGCTGCTGTTTTGCTGTGATCCTGTCTGTGTTATATTTAATTTGAAAAGATGTCCCATGATTTCATGAAGCTTTATTTTGTTTACCAACTAACCTACGTATATCTGAATATGTCCTGATGTGTGATCATTTGATGGGGCTGGTGGTGTTAATGTTGTAGATTCCCAGTTTGACAGCAGAGTGAACATAGACGAGCAGCACAAGCAGGTGGATGTGTGAGTATACAGCGTCGGTAGAGTTGTATGAAAGTAGAGTCCTACTTGATGGAATTTCTTCTGGCACCCATTTGCTGTTGGACATCTGAGAGAAAAGATGGATTACAGACATGTGTTAGAATGAACTGAGAAGAAATGATGGCAGGGATAGATATGGAGGAAGTGGGTTCTGGAAATGGTGGGCACAATGGGAGATGATGTATATGGCATTTATATACCTGTATGTAAAAGAAATAAAGTCACCAGCTGTCTGAAAATATTTCTCTAATCCTAACCCTGAACTAACATTAGTGACTATACAAGGTCTTTACAAGGTTTTTAAGTTCAGCTTATTGATAGTGTTAGGGTTTTTTCTCTTCACTCTTTATTCCATATGTTTATTGTTGTGTGATTGTTACATGCAACGTAGGAGACATTTTGTACAGTGGGTTTCTTGGATGAAGCAGATTCAACTGATACAGCCTCCGGCCATTGGTGCATATAAAAAGAATGACATTTTGGATTTCTTGGTAACAACTTTTTGTTGTACATAAAGCCACACTGATGTGTGTGTATGTCATACAATTGTACCCACAGGGTGTGCTACAGCAGCAATATACATACATTCCAGTATTTGCATTACATTGATGCATGGCACATAGCCTGGCCTTTTTTCATTTTTCAGAAGCTGGAACAACGGATGCCTCAATCAAAAGTATTTTCATAAGGTAATGCAAATACTTAAAAAATTAAGAATCCAAAAAGTAATGCCATTTATCTCTCTGATTTATGGTTCCATTGGTTAGAAATCACTGATAGAAAATGATCCAATGCATTTTTCTGTTACAAAATTTGTGAACTAAGACTTAGGTAAGCACAAATCCTTGTTATAACCATTTATATGTAATAAGATGGACAACTTGACAGCTCTCCAAAAGTGAAGCAAAACTCTATCTCCCCCTAGTGGCTGACTGCAGTATAGCTCATAAAGTCCACTGACTCCATGTTAGCAGACGGGACAAACACAAATACATTTTTCCATCAGTTTGGTTTTGATTAGTTATTGATAACTGCAGCTCTAACTTGAATTGAATTTTTATACATATATGAGTAAGTGACTACCTTACTGGGAGGTCACTAGAGGTCTTGATGATCTAGGTAACTTCAGAATTGGGTTGGAATCTACTTCTACTGATTTACTGCTGATTTGTATTCTTCTGATCAAGCTTCAATAAAGTTTGCTGTGTAAGTACAGACGCAAATTACATGTGAATCATTTTTAACCTTTCCTTTACAATATGGGGCACAGTCAGCAATGATTTTGGTCCTCTATTGTAACATGGCTGATTTAGCTTGTTCCACCTTTCCTCCTGTTTTCCCCATCCAAACTGAACAGTGTTATCAGTACCACCTGACCAAACGGTGCAGCTGGCACTCAAACTCCCAGCCAATGGGCATACATACTAACACTTTTCATTTTCTCATTATAAATCCCTTGAATTGGTGCTACCAAATTTGTTGATTCTAAAACAAATCAGAAGAATACTTACTAATACCATCTCACCATGTTGCAGGAGGTCTAATTTTTAAGTCCGACCTGAAAAATAAAAATGTTACATTGCCATTTCCTGCCAAAGTCAGTTAAGCACATCTAGTTTTGTTTTTCATTATATATATATATTGAACAAGTTGATCCTCATATGAAATATTAAAACGTTATAATGAAGTTGTTTTGTTACACTGTAAAAACTAGTTGTGCCCATCAGTCATGATAACTTCTAATTCATTGTCAGTAAGACTACAAACTATTGAAACAGTTGTGATAACTCAGAATGTTGTGTTTATGTCTCCTCAACTAGTGAAAAGTTTTCAAACTAAGAAACATGATTCAATTGAAATTAACAATGTCAGTTAAAAGGATCATTGGCTGACGTAAGCACGTTCAACTAACGTCTCCAAACAACCGTTTCTGCTGTCCGCCATTTTCTCTGTTTCACCACTTCCAAATCTGTCGGTAGTTTGAATTACCCTGCTGGAATCTGAGGTAACTAAGATAGCTAGCTTTAAGTGATGGCTAAGAGTTTGGCACATAATTATTATATAATTATAATTAGTATTATAATAAATGTTTATCCATTTTATTTGCATTAATCACCAGAAGCAACCAGGTGGACCTGCTTCTGTTCAGCATTAATGTCGGTTTGAACAAAATTCTAGCTCAGCAAAACCTATATCAAAAGATAATTGATTTGAATATATTTATATAAATTTGAATATTTAATGATATCTCTGATCTCTGTCCCGCGTGACCCCGCCTCCCTGTGTGCAGCGCGAGGCCGGCAGGTGAGCTCAGTGTGACGGAGACACTCTCCTCAGGTTGCTCCAGTCTGTCAGCAAGGTGGGTTGAGTTCATTAAGTTGCTTTTGTCTTTTGATAACTTGCTAAGTCAGCAGTAACGTTAGATAACGTAGCTGGTAGTAATATTGATGTAACAGGTAGCTAGTTTCAGCCCAGCTCGGTTGGATTGGTTTTTCAGGGGTGTGTCATGATGACCATATTATTGATCTCTAGGTCTCACGTCCAATATAACGTTACTCACAAAGTTAAAAAAACAAAAACACATTGATAACTGATAATGTCGGCGCTAAAAAGAGCCACGCATGCGCACAGACAGAGAGCGGCTGTTACGTTATTCAGAGAAAAGAGAAATATTCACAAGCTGGTAAAGTGTAATTGATTCCCGCGCTCAGAGTAATCTCAGTCAGAAACTCTTCCAGCAGCAGCAGTGTCTCTCCTCTCATACCGAGCACACAGCAGGGACAGTGAGTTACTGTACCTGAGAGGACTCTTGTGTCTCTGTCACACTGAAACTTTCTCATGATTCCCAATAAGCAGTTTTTAGGTTAGTATGCCTGTGCAAACTCATGAATGTAATTTTACCTTAATGCTGAAATCTTGTAATATAGCATAATTTTAGACTTTTAGACTTTTTTTTAACATCATGCAGGGTTGACAACACACTGTCATCTCTCTGAAATCAATCTCTCAAAGTTCACGCCATAGATTGTTATTAAAGTGAGGTGTCCTCATGGCCACATCTACTTGAGTGGCTGGTGGCTTTAATAATGTATTCTGTCTTTTAACAGAATTCCAACCAAACAAAAAGGGCTGTCATTCTGAGGGGCCTGCCATATTTCCTCTGTGAAGAAACTCTGAGTTCCTCAGGACTGCAGAGGTAAATTAGTTATTGTTACTGAATGAACTGATGAAACTCTGTTGCTGGCTGTAAATGTTTTAATGCCAATGTATGTGGAAAACTGTCCCCATTTTATTCACCCTATCAATTTTGGTTACAGCATGCCGTTTAGGAAATTAACTTAGAATATATTGAATGAATGTTTGAATATATTAAATGAAAACTGATGTCATCAAGGCACTGGTGCCATCTTTAGTAAAGGCCTATCAGCTTCTACCTGAAGTGTTATTTCCACCAACATCTCTCCTTCAAGAAAGATGCATAAGGTTCTTTCAGCAATGTTTTGTTGAACACGCTGCACGCCATCAGACCACTGACCTGCTGAGAGACCCTACACAGACGCACACACACACACACACACACACACACACACACACTCGCCAGTTTAAGACTCTACTGTTTTTTTTATCTTTTAACATTTGCACTTTAATCTATTCTCAATTGTAATGTTATTTTATTTCTATTTAAAGTAAACAGTAGAGTCTTAAAGTGGCAAGTGTGTGAGTGTAGGGTTTCTCAGCAGGTCAGTAGTCTGATGGCGTGCGGGTAGAAGCTGTCTCTGAATCTGCTGAACCACCTGCCTGATGGCCGGAGCCAGAGAGGACGCGCCGCGAACAGCGGCCGAACCAGGCTGCGAAGCCCCCAGCCAGGACACCCTCTTATGAGTAATCATGTTCAACAAAACATTGCTGAAAGAACATTGTGCATCTTTCTTGAAGGAGAGATGTTGGTGGAAATAACACTTCAGGTAGAAGCTGATAGGCCTATACTAAAGATGGCGCCAGTGCCTTGATGACGTCGGTTTTCATTCCATATATTCAAACATTCATTCCATATATATTTAATTTCCTAAACGGCATGCCATAATGCCGAAACATGTTCTTGTTTCTCATAGACAAATACTGAAGAATACTAAAAAATACTCAATACTAAAATATTTTTTCCTTTCTTTGTGAAGCCCACAGACATGGAGGACAGCATGACGAGGGGAATGAATGTCGGCATTGTCCTAGTAAAAGAAGGAGAGGATCTTGTTGACATATCGGTGGTCCTGGAGGAACAGATCATTCTGCATGGCATCAAGGACTACTCGCATGCGGTAGCTATGTTAATGGGTCTGCTATATGCACTGAACATTGACTACCATTCAGCTCTGCAAGGGTTCATGGACTGAGGAATAGACTTCTTCGTAAAACTGTGTAGACACTACACTGAGACTGAGAGTTTTCTCTTCAGTTCTGTTCCACTATTGTAATGGTCACTGACATTGTCAGTTGCAAGAATTTAAGTTTAATTTAATTTAAGTTTGAGGTCTTTCCTGGAAAGTCTTTTTGACCCGTTTGGGTGTGCATAATTTTATTTTATATTTTTTTCACATTATGAAAGACAGCGACAGAAGTAATGAGTAGAGAGTACTCATTTGTGCACGTTCTAAAGAGATGTTTTACTCATAAGCCTGTGTTGTTTTTGGGGACAAAACCTTTTGTTCTTGATGGGATGTGTTGATGTGTTTACCTTGCCCATCTGGTTTATTAAAGCTTTGAAGAACTGGAATTGATTTGGTATCTTTGGAACAACCAATAACCTATAGAGATAAGTTCTTTAAGCATAATCTAAAATAAAGTTGAAAGAGAATTACCAAATATGTAGTATAAATGTAATCTTAAGCAGAACTAAATTCTGAAAGTTGACTCAAATATAAATGTATAATGAAGTTGACATAACATAAAGTTAGGTAAACTAGATATTGTAGGTAGACTGAACTGTAGATTCATTATTTACAGTTTTGGAATTCCAGTTGAAAGAAATTAAGATTGTGTTGACTCAACTAAAGAATTCTATAGGAACTGAATTTTGATTAAGTTATGTGAACTAAACGTTAAGTTTATTTGACTAGAAAAGTTTATTTGTTTTGAATCATTACACAATTGTCTCAACTATTCTTCACAAGTTCAGCTAACTTCAAATTTTAAGGCAGCCCGGACACTAACTTTTGTTAGTTGAAACAACTAGTGTTTTTTGACAGTGTATGTGTTTTTTCTAGGTCATGGACAGGGAAGCTAAATGAAACTCATTGGATAAAGGTGTGGCACATCTTACTGAGCCTGGAAACGATCAACTTGAAGAGGCCGACTGTCATTATATTATTGGAATTTTTTCAAAAAGGTTGTTTGTCTGTGGCCATTAGAACCAAAGCAGGTTATAGGTCCAGGGTTGGGCTATTCTTGTCACACAGTTTGAAACATTCAAAATCACTACAGGATGACGACTTTCAACTTATCAATATATAATGAAAAACAAAAATAGAAATGATGAGCATTACATGGACCATAGAGGAATACAAATTCCTAAAATAAGTGTAACTTATGCAAATAGACTTTGTATTTTATTAATAATAGTAACATAACATGTTTCAAATTAGAGTTGAAGTGGCTGAAGCTACAAAAGAGAGGATAGCAGCTCTTAACATGACCAATGGCCGAGCATCAGCACACACTGATAGCTGCTACAGTACTGTAACTACAGTATACTGCTCTAATTCACTTTCAATGACGTACTCATCATAAGGCACATTTCTTCAGATTCAAATATTCTCTCTTTTCAAGCTATCCAATGTGAACATGTTAGCTTCAGGACTCATTGTATGTGTTCTCAAAAATAGTGAGTAGTATGTTAACATTAATATAAATCAGCATCAAGTTAAATGAACTACTCATACATTTTAAGAATAATGTTGATAATAATGTTTATATTAATTTTAATATATATAGAAAAATGTAACTTACTCTAGTGTATGTCTGCAATGATACTTTTCTGGATGGCCCCATTTCTTTTCCAGGTCTTTCAGAGATTTGTCATCACACGTTTTCCGTTGGGATCTGTAAAAAAACATTTTAACAGTTTTGTAACCAAGCAAAAGCCCATGCTCTCAATACAGTTCAGTACAATCCAATACAACTCTTCATAATTTAGCTAAATGAATTGGGTTTTGTCATTGCTTTCAGAAAACATACATCATTTAAATAGAAGTGTTTTTGAATATGCTAGAGGATGAGTGATGGGGCAAATAGGGGAGGAGGGATTGTGGGGTATGTAAAGAAAGGGTCGACTCTAAAGCCCCACTTATATAATTAGTCATTCAGGATTTCTAGAACAAAAACCATGTCTGTGGTAGTCACAACTATGGATTGGAAATGGGAATGTAGGATATATTCCACATTTAATTTCATGTTTAAATCCTATTTGTGTCTCTAACACTAAATGGAGAATTGAAAATGTCAGCACTGAGCTACAAATAATTACTGCACTTCACATTTTGTAACACCACACTGAATGTTATACTTACTCTGTATTGATCAGTATTACCCGCAAGGTAACTTTCTTGGGGTCTAACTTGGGCAGTTCATCAACTGCAAATATACTTGGAGTAAAAAGAGAGGACAGAAAAAAGATGAAATCTGACATTCTGAATTGTAATCTTTACATGCATTCACATTATACTGTTTGTCTCTTAATAAAGTGGTAAAATCACAGTGAATGTGCTGTCAAAGGGGGCCTGAAAATTACATGAATAAACCCTCTGAAATGTGAGAGGTTGTTTACCTGTTAGTGTCAAATGGAGTATCTACAGCTCCACTCAGTAAGACAGTGACTGTACCCTCAGCTGCCTCTGCAAACTGCAACAAAACATCAGCTCAGTATTCACTTACTCAGAATGATGTGTACATTTTACATTCATGTCAACTTTTGAAGTGGTGAGTAGGCAACTTTATTTTCAACACATTAAAATGAATACCTCCCAGGGGAAAAATAAGGGTTAAACAGTTTCAAACCCTCATCTCTGTCTGATGGCTGCTCCTGGTGGGCTAGACATTGACCAGTTAATGTTTCTATTCAGTCCTCTGACAGAATAGACAGTTTACAGCTGGTGAAACATCTGCAGTATGGAAAAAGAACTGATGGAATGAGGTATGGAAGCCCTCCTCATGAATGTGTGGAGACAGACCCTTTGGGCAAAAATGTACTTCACACAAATTCAAAGGAGAGTGTCAGTGCATTTGCACATATTCAACATGTGCCAGTATGTCCCTGTAGGGGGTTAAAATATTTTATCTTTGCAATGCTACATCTTGATGGTTCATTCTCTAATATGAATGTACTCACTGCCTGGGACACCCTCTTCCAGTAGGACCCGACAGGCTCCACCCCATCCATATATTCGGGACAACCTGAGGTCAAGACATCTACAGAGCACAAGAGATAAGCAACTTACAATTATACACTGCATAGAAGACAGCATCCACAGTTCATCAAACAAGGCTGAAACAGTAGTTTATCACTCAGTCATTAGTCTGTTCAATCCCCCAAAACATCATCTGGGTTTGGAAAGTGAAAGGCAGTCCTTGCCCTCCCTCATTACCACCACTGAGAAACCCTTGAGCAAGGCACTTAACACCGACTGCTGCAGTGGAGCTTCTCAGTGGCCAACAGATTAAACTGTGAACAAATTCTGTTGTATGTCTACAATGACAAAAGGTGTCGTATATTGTACTACTTTAGCTGATTCTACTGTATTTAAGAGATCACTGAATTTCTCATTATCTACAATTTGACTATTTTGCTCCAGATCTGGGTCATTCATTAAGATAGAAGAATCAGTCTAATTTTAACATGTCACACAAACATTTGCAGTATTGATACTAATGTGTGACATGTTTGTATATACAGGTGCATCTCAATTATTTAGAATATAATGGAAAAGTTCATTTATTTCAGTAATTAAATTAAAAAAGTGAAACTAATATTTTATATAGATTTATTACACACAGAGTAAAATATTTCAAGTATTTATTTCTTTTAATTTGGATGATTATGGCTTACAGCTAAATAAAAACCCCAAATTCAGTATCTCAGATTAGATTATATACTGTAGATCTGCACCTGTATATTTCTTTTTCTTTTCTTTCTTTTCTTTTCAACGGTTGTGATTATTGATAATCCTACAGCAGAGGCCTATCTGACAGAGCTGTAGCTAAACTTAAGGAGGACTCAAGAAGTACAGTATCAGCCTGTGTGTTTTACATTGTTCATATTGATATTAACTGTAATATTACCTTTGTTGTTGTTTTTTCCACACCATACTGCCTCATCCATTATACCAAAGATGGTATCCCCAATGTGGAAAAAGTGTTTCTCTGTTAGCTTACTCAGAAATGTGACCATGTGTTTGGTTTTACTCCATAGCAGAACCTAAAAAGAGACAGCACAAGGAAGATGGCATTACAGCAGTGTGTTATACACTAACAGGTCACACTGGTGTGAAACCTGACATGAATGGTAGTTTCTACCTTATCTTTTTCTTTTGGAATGGGATGTTCTTTAATCAGATCGTTGTATGCTTCTGGTGTGACAGTCTGAGGGGCCTTATTGACGAAGGCACCAGTGAACCTATCCCAGAATTCGTTACACCTGAACACATTAAATCAGTACTATTATTTCAGTAATTAGATTCATTAACTGAAGCAAACACATCACTAAAGAATGACAGAATACACACAGGTCTGTATCTTCTATCTAGCCAATGTAAACTAGTGTCCTGCTAGTCTTTTGATGGGTTCAAATCTAAGTGCAGGCCTCAAGGGTTTAACTAGACAGGTCATTACAGTTGTTTGCCTCTGTAATAGTTTAAATTATGACTGTAATTCTCAAGAATGCATTTAATTTCAAATGAGTTTCAATAAAGTTGTTTCATATGAGCATTTATTGTAAGTGTTTGAACTGAAATGAGGATCTATTGTCTTTGCCATCAGTCAGATAATGCTAATAGAGGCTTCAGCAAACCACCCGTAGTCCTGAGGGATCTGGGTTAGGGTGAACAATATTATTTATTTAATTATTTATTAATTTAGAGCAATATAATTTATACATTCATAAAATCGCTCTTACCTGTCAGTATTGTCATTGCCTAGAAATTCTTGACATTTAGTCATAACTTCTTTTTTCAAATCTATCACTTCTGTTGGCTGTGGTTCCTCAGCTCTATGTAGACAACAGAGCCATTTCCACCACCAACGTCCTGTTCCTTCAACCTGGGATAAAGGCCAAAAGCATTATCAGGACAATTGTAATAATAATTGGTCTAATTGGTTGGATCAGTGTTTATAAGTTAAATATATTTTCAGAATAAATAATAATATAGTGGAATTGTCAGCCATATTATGATTGACATACCTCCTGTGGCTGAAGCAGCATCATAGTGACAGACACAAGGAGCAGAGTCATCCAGAGAGACTGAAGCCTTTTTGCCATTCTGCAAAGCAAAGCAACATGAACAAACACCAGCTACTATAAATAATGGAGCCTCCATAGTGTTCTTCCTTTATCTTCCACCTCACATACACAGATAAACATGTGACATCTTGGCCAGGACCATGGTGCAGGTATTATATAGGAACTGTGAAACAAGTTTCCATGTATACTGATGGTATAAATAATAGAAGATAATAAATAAAAATGGAAACCTATCATTCCCCTTTTTGTATTTAATAAATGTCCAATTCAGTTGGGCCTGACACTGAGTGGTTGCAACATTATAATAATTTTAATATTGTCAGCAGTTAACATCGTCCCCAGCTGTCACAGTTGTTTCAGCTTAATTTCACTCCCTTATTAAAAACACTATACTATCTTTTTTGTAATGTTGACTCTCTCCCTTTTTGCACTACGTATTCCCCTATGCTGCTGTGTTTGAATTCCTCCCATATGGGATCAATAAAGGAACAACTTATCTTCATTGAAGCCATCAAGTCTCTTGACCCCATCCGAACTAGTTGTACCCTTAATTAGCACTTCTTTACTGGATATGATTAATCTTTCTTTATTATCAGGATATGTACCACAGTCCTTTAAAGTAGCTGTAATTAAACCCCTTCTTAAAAAGTCCACTCTTGACCCAGGGGTTTTAGCCAACTATAGACCGATTTCTAACCTCCCCTTCCTCTCTAAGATTCTGGAGAAAGTAGTCGCCAAAGAGTTGTGTGACTTTCTACATAACAATAGTTTATTTGAGGATTTTCAGTCAGGATTTAGAGTTCATCATAGCACAGAGACAGCTCTGGTTAAAGTTAATAATGACCTTCTGACTGCTTCTGACAATGGACTTGTCTCTGTACTTGTATTATTAGATCTTAGTGCTGCATTTGACACCATTGACCATAATATTCTTTTACAGAGACTTGAGCATCAAATTGGCATTAAAGGAACCGCACTAAGCTGGTTTAAGTTAAGTGAAAGTTTATATTTTAGAATATCATCTGCATTGAACTATTTCAGTTCAATTTGTATTTCAATCTATTTTTGGTTTACATAGTAGTCAATTTCATTCCTCAGCCTTGTCATACAAACTGCTGTTTTACCAATTCACACTGTAGATATCAGGAGGGTTAGGGTTAGTTAGTATTTGTTTGATGAAATGAAACTCACCTGTTTGCTGGGTAGAGTGTAGATCAGAAAGGCGTGTGGACTCTGGAGCAGGTGAGTATCTGGTCTGATGGTCTGTGTGTCTCAGAGGTAAGAGCTGTACCTGCTTTTATATACCTGTACCATTGAGGACACATCCACTGATGCAGTGGTACGATAACGACGTTACTGAAATATGATTGGGCTGTCTTTCCTGAGTAAACCCATATAAGATAACCTGTGTGTGGATTGGCCTCATGGCTGCTACTGAATATTGAATATGTGTCAGTGTGTGGATGGATTCAGAATATATTCATACTACATAAGACAATTACAGTTATTTATTTTTTACAAATTCTAACAAGCTATTACTTAAGATTATTTTTCTAACAAAGCAACACACCTACATTACACAAAACCACTTTTTGTTCATTAAACAACAACTCTAAAACTGGTACATGCCCTAACTGTAAAATGGTAAATGGACTGTACCTGAATAGTTCATTTCTAGTCTTCCGACCACTCAAAGTGCTTTTACACTACAGTCACATTCACCCTTTCACACATTAACTCAGTGATGGTAAAGCCCATTGAACAGAAACTAACTCATTCATGCACATTCACACACCGATGACACAGAAACGAAAGACTGATATCAACAGGTTTCCGGATATGAGCAAATATCTTTTCAAGAAGGTGATTGATGACTAAAAAGGTTGAAAATGTGAAGAGATGGGAATAAAGGTATAATAAAGTTCAGTTATAAAAGCACAAGTCATAAAAACATAAAACACAATGCAAATTTCCCAGCATATCACAGTTTCATTTGGATAACTGAATTTTAGTCTTCCACAGATTCGATGGTGTTCAGGAGAACAATGGAGGAGTATCTCATTGGGTCCAGCTGTCTCCTTATCCCTCCAAAACCTTCTTCTGTTAATTAGCATTGTATAAGATGTATTTTTCAAAAAGGCACATTTACAGCAAAATGAATTTGAATTACTAATTAGCAATAACACATTAATGTACTTTATATAACAAACTGCTTTATTTAGTACTTTGTATACCTTTTAAATGTTCTCGTACAGGCTGTGAAAGATTGTTCCAGTACAGTTACAGCTTATTTTTGCCATTTTGCAACAACAACAAAAAAACAAGGAGTAGAATTACAGTACAGCAGTCAAGATATATTACTGTAAACTCACAAAAACAAAGAATTACAGTAAAATGACAATGTGCAATATTAAATGTCATCCCAGGGTTGGGTCATCTACATCACAGACAATGGGGGAGAAACCCTCTAGTGTGTTGATCCAGTCTTGATAAAACTCCCTTTTCCCTGGTATTATAGTGGTTTCAGTCACACACCTTCCACCACCATGCAGAGAAACACTTTCTTTAGGTTGAGGAAGGGCCACTTCTACCTGCATACAACAGACAATATGAAATCATTGTTTCCTTTACTGTAAACCACTATACATGCTTTGGTTGAGGGTATAATGTGTGGCTTTTTGGAAACATGTTATCTAAAAGTGAATGAGTTATCTTTATACAATGAATAGTAGAAATATATAGTGGAAGAACTGATCGGTTCTGATCAGTTAAAAAATATCTTGATCAGCACTGATACCGATCGTTGAGCTTAGATTGAGACATCCCTACTGGTAAACTTTAAGAAAGATTTGGATAGCAACAGGTTTCTGGATATGAGCAAATATAACAGCGCCAACATTTCTCAAAAAGGTAGTTGATGAGTGAAAGAAGAAGGCTGAAAAGGTAAAGAGGTAAAAAAAAATACAAAGAGAAGAAATGTCTCCTGCAGCTTCAGCTGTTCCACTTGAACCATGAGAGCATTTTATTTGCTGTGTGTTAGCACAGGAAGATCCATCATTTTGGGTTAGGGTCATCTTGTATGTAATAAATCTGTGAACATTTTAGAAACATGTTCATTGATTGCATATTGTGTGAAAACAACATAAATTGTGTTCATATGGTAACAGATTGATGTTAACTGTAAAGTTTTGAAAATGTGAGTAGAGAGTGGAATAAAGGCTGTGAGTGATTATACAAACTGTAACAGGATGAAGGGTTCAATAAAATGTGTTGGATGATAAGACTGTTGAGCTCAGCAGTAGCAGCACTAGTCATTCAAATCTAAAAAATAATGCAAATTTCCTCATATCATTTTATTTCCATTACTGAATTTCTAGTACTTCTTCAGACGAGACCAGGAGAACAATGGAGGTGATGTACATGAGATGTGTGCAACTGTAAATGTAAATATATTTCAGATATCTGCCAGGGGAGTTAAAGGGTGCAGGTGTTCTCCTCAGCTACACAAAGCTGGAAGTCATAAAAAGGCCGATGGCAGAGATCAAACAGGACGTGATGGCTGAAAAGTTTCTTACCCAGACCTCCGCTACGTGAGCCAGTAACTGGGCGAGAGAGGCGTTCTGATACAGAGAAGAGAGAGAGAGAGAGAGAGAGAGAGAGAGAGAGAGAGAGAGAGAGAGAGAGATGAGTTTACATGCATGTCAAGGAACAATATATATTTTCAAGGAATTAAAGGAATAAAAAATATTTTTAGCTAAAAGAAAGAATCAGAATGGATGAGATGAACAGATGAAAGTCAGAACTAATTATTCTTTACTCATTATATCGTCACAGTCTCCATGTGTGAAATCTTTAAAATTGTCCATTTCATTATTTAAAAAAAAAAAAAATTGGGGGGCTTTTATTGCCTTTATTGATAGTGGCAGCCGAAGATAGACAGGAAAGGGGGGCAGAGAGAGAGGGGATGACACGGAGCAAAGGGCCACAGGTCGGATCCGAGCCCAGGCCGCTGCAGTAACTCCGTACATGGGTCGCCAGCTCTACCGACTTCATTCTTAAATTATGGTGCAGTTTCTCTTTCTGTTGTTTCTGTGGAGTTAATAACGGCTGAATAAACTTGGAGATTATTTTGTTGGAAGAATTTAATTGGATTATTTGTCACGCCCAGAATTAAGAACAAATACTTCTCTGTACCACACCAGGTGTTCCAGATGTGGAGATATAAATGTAGATCATTCTCATGTTTTTTGGCTTTGCCCTAAAGTTATAACATTTTGGGAAGATGTTCACCTGGTTATCGTCACAATTCTGGGTTATGATATATCCAAGTCGTGTATATTACTATATTTTTTATATGACCGGCAATGTTGTGTTAAAAGAGGAAAGATATTTGTTGTAAAAAAGCAATCAGGAGAAAATGGTATAAGCCAGATCCATATTGTGAATGAAATACATGTTATGGAACAGTTGACTCATAAGATAAAGATCCAAGAAGAACAATATGGAGAACAGTGGACCGTTTACACTTTTCAAATAGAGCAGGTCTAGACCGAACTCTTTAACATTAATTACAGAGACCCAACAGTACCACCATGAGCAAGACCTTGGAGACAAGGGCAAGGAAACACTGCCTGTTAAAAGGCAGAAACCTAGGACAGATCCTCCGGCAGATTTCTGATGTACTCTTGGATTTTTGATGTTTCATCCTGGATAGTGGCCTTGATGCTCACTAGTCCTCGGCCTCCCCTCTTTCCGCTAAGTGTACAGTCTCAGGGTGCTGGATTTGGGGTGAAACCCTCCGTGCATGGTGAGGAGCTTTCTTGTCTTGATATCTGTGGCTTCTATCTCCTTCTTTGGCCAGCTTATGATCCCAGCAGGGTATCTGATGACTGGTAGTGCGTACATGTTGATGGCTTGGATCTTGTTCCTGCCATTCAGCTGACCTTTCAGGACCTGCTTTACTCTCTGGAGGTATTTGGTTGTGGTTGACTGCCTTGTGGCTTCCTCATGGTTTCCATTAGCCTGTGGGATACCAAGGTACTTGTAGCTGTCTTGGATATCACCTATGTTGCCCTCTGGTAGGTCAACCCCTTCAGTTCTGATCATCTTGCCTCTCTTTGAGACCATCCGGCCGCACTTGTCCAATCTGAATGACATCCCTATGTCGTTGCTCTAGATCCTGGTGGTGTGGATCAGTGAGTCGATTTCTCGCCCATTCCTGGCGTACAGCTTGATGTCATTCATGTAGAGCAGGTGGCTAATTGTTGCTCCACTTCGGAATTGGTACCTGTAACAACTCTTTGTGATGATCTGGCTGAGGGGGTTCAGGCCTATGTAGAACAGCAGTGGTGATAGCGCATCTCCTTGGTATATGCCACATTTGATGTCTACGTAGGCAATTGGCTTTATCTTCTAGGATTGTCTTCCACATTCCCATCGAGTTCTGGATGAAGGCCCTTAGGTTCCTGTTGATCTTATACAGTTCCAGACATTCCAGTATCCACGTGTGGGGCATTGAGTCATAAGCTTTCTTGTAGTCGATCCAGGCGGTGCACAGGTTGGTCTTCCTGCTCTTACAGTCTCGGTCGACTGCTCTATCGACCAGTAGCTGGTGCTTGGCTCCTCTGGTGTTGCTACCAATTCCCTTCTGAGCCCCGCTCATGTATTGAGCTACGTGCTTACTCATCTTAGCCGCGATGATGGCCGGTAGTTGGATGGGATGGGTCCCTTCTGAGGGTCCTTCAGGATTAGGACTGTCCTGCCCTGGGTTAGCTACTCTGGGTGGTACCCATCCCTTAGCAGCTGGTTCATCTGTGCTGCTAGGCGTTCATGGAATGCTGTTAGCTTCTTCAGCCTTCAGAGTACCGTGGCTTGTTCAGTGGATAACAGCTTGTTTATTCTCCTGGCCTCTACCTCCTTGGTGTATCTCTTCAACCAGGTGGCCAGTGCTGTTAGTCTCTGTTTGGCAGTTTCGAGTGCTTCAGGTATGGAGAGCTCGGTTTATTTCCTGGGTGCCCCTTTATTCACCATGTTGCCTTTCTGTAGCTCTGCTAGCTGGCTAACTTCTCTCTGTGTTGCCCTTATCTTGGCCTCTAATCGTATTCTCCACGGTGGATGCTGCCTGTTATGGTTTGAGCCCATCCTGTATCCAAGCATTTCTAGGATTACTGTTGCTGTACTGTGTATCAGGTTACTAGTCTCAGTGATGGTTCCCGTAGGGATTGTTGTTAGTGCAGTATTCACATCCACTAGCAGATCTTC